TGGATTTGAACCTGCCAGCTCAGGTTTATGTGGCTGGTGCCTTAGCTGCTTGAGCCACAGGCGCTGAGCCTACTATAAATATTTTTAACTCATTGTCTTCAGTGGGGAGTTTTATTGGCATCCCCAAACTATTCAGCCTATATGAAATTCAAAATAAACAGATAGTGATGCACCAGAATTTAGGCAATGCCCTAAATTGCCTTCGAGCCCTTCAAGCATCAGCAGTAAGTAGCTGGAGAGCAAAACTGACATTACCTTCATCAGCAGCATGTAGGAGATAAGGTTGTGCAAAAGTGTGGCCAGCAGGCGATCTTCATCATCTTCTAGGCGCTTCCGATCATGTTCTCCCAGAGATAGATATCTAAGCAAAAAACCAGGTACAAGTCACCCTCAGGTGGGATACCATAGAACTAACTGGCAGGAGGTTGAATTTGCATATTCTCAAGAGTTCCCAAAGCTCCATACCTGTCAATCATTTCCTGGGGACCCTGGTCCATACCCATCCCTTCTCTCTCCAACATCACAGCATCTAAGAATGCATCTTCCCAGAACTGCATTTGGTCCCACAAAGTAGAACGCTCTTTACCTGTGTGGAATCAAGGTTTTTTTTAGAAGCTTATTTAACATTTAAAGAATTGGCTGCCAAATGAAAATAAAGAGTAAACTCCAGATAAAAGGGAGTTTTTTTGCATATTCCAGGGCAAATAAAACACAAACTTCTCTACCCCAAATCTAATATTCCTGCCACCAGCCCCAGATGCCTCTAAGTAAGGCCCAGTCCCTCCCAAGAAGGAGAGATGAACACAGCACACAAAGAAATGTGGTTACTTATAGAAAAGGTCTCCATAGCAGCATCCTCTAACTGGTCCCACATCGATCCTTTGTCCCTTCCTGCCATTTTGTGAGCAGGAAGGATCATGGTAGCAAGAAAAAAAAGAAGACAGAAAGACAGAGGCTATTGATTAATACCAAAATCCAATTTCATCTAGTTTTTACCCACTGTTTGACTCCAGAAAGTCACTTGTTTTGGGTATAAAAATGCTATCTGGTGTCAGCATTGAGATCAGCAAAAAACCAAGCAGCTTGTTTGGTGCTATCCTCTACTCTCGCTGAGCTCAGGCTTCTTTTTTTTGAGATAAAGCCTCAAGCTGTCCCCCTGGGTAGAGTGCTGTGGCATCACAGCTCACAGCAACCTTCAACTCCTGGGCTCAAGCGAGTCTCCTGCTTCAGCCTCCCAAGTAGCTGAGACCACAGGCATCCACCACAACGCCCGGCTATTTTTTTGGTTGCAGCTATCATTGTTGTTTGGCAGCCCGGGCTGGATTTGAACCCGCCACCTTAGGTGTATGTGGCTGGCGGCTTAGCCACTTGAGCCACGGGTGCTGAGCTGAGCCCAGGCTTCTTAACAGTTCTAGGGGCTTCTCACCTAAGAGTCCCTCGTAGAGATAGACTCTTTGGCTCACATCTTCAGAAGAGCGAATTGGGCTGCCCACTAACTTCTCCTTTACACTTGGCTTCAAGCTGTGGGATTTACCCTAGAGAGAAGAGGTGGTAGGTCAGTTGTCAGAGTTATCAACAAAGAAAGCAAAGTAAACCAAGCATCTCACTGAGAAGACACTTAGACAGCAGTCACCATCCATTCACCACATAATCACCAGCAATCTTGCTTCTGCTAGTCTGTCTGGCCTAGGATTTGACCAAGCCAATCTGATACTCCTGCTTTCTGTTCCTGCCTCCCATTTTCTCTTTAAAAAACAAAAATAAATTAAGCTAATTTTCTGTGCAGTAGCATGACACAGAAGAAAGAACACAGGGTTTGAAAGGTTCAGATCCCTCCAATTAGCTATATGACCTTAGGCATAAAACTTAGCTTCTATAAGTCTCATTTTACTCATCTGCAAAAATAAGTTTATAATACCTACCTCATAGGACAATGATTAAATTTGAACATATACAAAGTACCTACTACCTGGCTGCTTAATTGCTAAATGTTAATTTCCTCCTTTCTATAATCTCTGTCTCTAGGAAATATCACCAAATTTATTTGCTACTACTTCTGTAACATTAGATTTATTTCCTTCCTTCTTTCCTTCCCTCCCTTCCTCCCTCCCTCCCTCCTTTCTTCTTTCTCTCTCTTTTTTTTTTTTATTTTGAGACAGAGTCTCATTCTGCTACCCAGGCTAGAATGCTGTGGTATCAGCCTAACTCACAGCAACCTCAAACTCCTGGGCTCAAGCTATCCTTTTGGCTCAGCCTCCCAAATAGCTGCAACTACAGGCACCTGCCATGATGCTCAGCTAATTTTTCTATTTTCAGTAGAGACAGGATCATATTCTTGTGTAGACTGGTCTCAAACTCCCACCTTAAGGGATATTCCCACCTTGGCCTTTCAGAGTGCTAGGAGCTGTTGCCCCACCTATACTTTCTATTTATTAAAAAAAAGACTGTCAGTGGACTCAGCACCTGTAGCTCAAGTGGCTAAGACGCCAGCCACATACACCTGAGCTGGTGGGTTTGAATCCAGCCTGGGCCTGCCAAACAAGAATGATGGCTGCAACCAAAAAACAGCCGGGTGTTGTGGCAGGCGCCTATAGTCCCAGCTACTTGGGAAGCGGAGGCAGGAGAATTGCTTGAGCCCAGAAGCTGGAGGTTGCTGTGACCTATGATGCCACAGCACTCTACCCAGGGCAACAACTTGAGGCTCTGTCTCAAAAAAAAAAAGATTGTCAGTGGCTCACACCTGTAATCCCGGCACTTGGGAGGCCAAGGTGGGTGGACTGCCAGAGATCAGGACTGCCAGAGACCAGTCTGAGCAAGAGCAAGACCTTGTCTCTAAAAAACAGCCGGGGAGCATTTGGCGGGTGCTGGTGAGTGGAGACTGAGTGGCTGAAAGTACTGAACTTTAAGCCAGGGCCTCTAGAGAGAACAGTCACCACACTTATGGCAGGGATTTTGTGTACAGTAGTTCAGAGGCCATTAGGTAGACTATAGACTGTGACAAAAGGTGTGAAGTCTCTTGTTTGTACAGATTGGATTCGTCACAAATTTATCAAGTCAAGAATTCCAGATAAAGCGTTTCAGCCTTCACCAGCAGACCATGAAAAGTATGGTGGGGATCCATAGAACACCCATAAACTGCATATTATTACTAGAATAAAAAGTACACAAAGACATCCATACTGGAAAAAAGATACAATAAAGATGCTTGGATTAGAAAAAGCACATACGGCTCAGTGCCTGTGGCTTAAGTGGCTAAGGCACCAGCCACATACACCTAAGGTGGCGGGTTTGAATCCAGCCCGGACCCACCAAACAACAATGACGGCTGCAACCAAAAAATAGCCAGGTGTTGTGGCGGGCGCCTGTGGTCTCAGCTACTTGGGAGGCTGAGGCAGGAGACTCGCTT